CCCCCACATTTTCCGTGAAAATTCCACCTCCTGCCCTTTTTTCCCTGCTTAACGTTGTTCAGGTGGGAAATTCCCCCCCAACACCTTTCGGGGGAATTGGAAAGTTTGTCACCAGCTCTGGGGAAAATGCCGCAAACTGCCGCTGCCTGCGCGGGGTTCGGAGAAGCGGCTGCAGGCAGGGCCGCGGGGCGAGGGGCTCTGGGTGCTGCCGGGCGTCCCCTCCGCGCTGCCGGCTTTCTGGCAAGGGTGAGCAGGGCGAGCATCCCCTTGGGGTGGGGAAGGAGTTTGCGGCATCTTCCCGGCCATGCCTTGGCCGCGCCATCCCCGGTGCCACGTCCTGCCTTCCCCTTCCATCCCTCCGGCTGAGGGCACGATTTAGGGATGTTTCGGGGATTTTGAACACCCAAAGTGGCAAAAATTCATCCCTATCCGCCTCTCGCAGGGCCACGGGTGAGTCCGTAATCATGGGCTTCAGCCGAAGGTTTGCTCGTTTCTCATTTTCCCATCATTTTACCCTTGCCTTCCCTTCTTCCCCTCTTGCTTCACTTTTTCTTCATTTTTTTCTTTTCTTTTCTTATTTTTTTCAACACAAAAACCCCAACCAGAGTATTATGTTTTTGCTACCTCCGTCACCCTTCCCTGTCCGAAGCCAGAAGCCATGCTCGGGATGTAAGAGGGCCTTTCCCCCTTTATTTTTTCTGTTTCTCTGGAGATTTTGTCTCCCCTGTCTGTCCTCCTCCCCCCTTCTCCTCTCTCTCTGATCTTTCACTTGTAGTATTTTACCTGGCTACTGTAACTGTAAATAGCAAGTTTCAATATGTTAGCAATGGTAACAGTACAGAAAACTGGTTTTTTGGGTTTTTTTTTGGTTGTATTGATATGAAATGAGATTATATTTTTGTCAGAGTATATTGTAATAATACTGACTTTGGACATGGCCGAATTGTACAGCTATTTCTTGTTGAACCCTCTTGGCTCTTCCCCCTCCCCATCCCTCCCTGCTCCCCAATTTTCCGTGTCCCAGACCCGGACCCCGCCAGGCTCCCGGCCGGGAGCAGCTGCTTGGTGATGGCTCGAGCACCAGGGATGCTTTTCCGCAGAGGGTCCCCAAGGCGCTGGCATGTCACCCCTGGGTCCAGAGAGGTCAGCAACACCCAGAAATACCTTCGAGCAAGCTTTGGAAATAGGGAGGTGCCTGGCGCGCAGGGATGCTCTGGCTCTCTGCTACGCTCCCGGCAGGAATAGGGGACCTTAGAGGAGCGGACGGGGTCGTCCCAGCTCCCCTCTGCTCCCCAGCGGGTGGAAAGCCCCTTTACTTTCCAGTTTATTCCTCTCGAGCTCCGTTCTCTAAGAGCGATGCCTTTTTTGAAATATACTTTCTTTAAGCCAGAAGAGGGTGGTGTGGCTCAGGGAGCTGCACCGGGCACCTCGCTGCATCTTCGGAGCAGGCTGGGATGATTTTCCGGGAACTGGGGAGTTTATAACATCCCCGGCCCGATGCCGTGGGCAGAGAAGCGCAAGACGTCGCTGGGCTGGGGTGGGCTGCTGCCCCCCTGCATTTTACCACAGGGCATGGGGTAACCACTGCTTCGTGGTGGCGGAAAATAAGGGATTTCTTCTCTTCAGCTGGGTTTGCGGAGGGGGATTTTCCTACCGGTGCCGCTCGAGCCACCAAGACGTAGAGACCGGTGCGGTTCCTCGCTCTCCGGCCTTGAACACGCCGCAGAGTGGCAGGGAGCATCCTTTCCCCGGGTGGAAACACGCTGTCACAGGACGAATGCTGGGACATCCCCGTGGGCTCCCGGCATCTCCCTTCAAGGCCGAGGGGCGAAGCAGCCCTGCCCGGCCCCGTCACCCACCTCTCGACTCCCCGCGGCTGCGCGCACGGCCGCTCCCCTCGCCGCTTCCCAAGCAGTTTGCAGTCAAATAGGAATGCTGAAACGGGTGGGGACCATCGCGGCTGTGCCGCTGTCCCCCTTTGGCAAACAGGTCCCACCCCCGATGGCCTCTGGGTCGGGTCCTCGTTCTTACCCCGTCCCCTTCGCTCCCCCCGGCTCCCCGTAGCTCAAGTAAAGCAGGTAGGTGTTAGCATACTCTGGGGTATCTGCAACGATCTTTGTAAAATAGAGTAGACCCTTTAAATGATGCACTAAAGGAAAAAAAAAAATATAAACACCCCCCCCACTGAGACAAACACGAGGCAGGGTGCAGGGCAGTACTGCAAAGAGGATGATGGGATTATTAATAGAGGTGCTTGGATAAGTGGCAAAAAAACAGGTTGCTTTCAATGTGTGACTCTAGGCAGAAGAGCATTAGTTGTCCATAGCAATGTCCCCAGCTCTCAAATACTGTGCAAATTCTCAGCAGAGATCTGGTGTTTGTAGCTCTGCTCTTTAAAAAATAAAATAAAAAATCACTTATTGAATCAAAGAATTAAAAAATATTCCTGAGGCTCTGCCACACGTGTGTGTGTGTGTGTGTGTATGTGTGCGTGTGTGTGCGCGTCAAGGGATTCTGTGCCCGCGGGTGGCAGATTGGGACAGCCGTGGGACGGCCACGCTCGTCCTGCAGACGGGACGTGGGGACCAGGGTGTCCTCTTCTCCGTGTCCAGCTCTTTGGGTGCGATGTAGCGAAAGCCAAGCAGCAGCGTTGGGAGGGGAGGGAGGATTTATGCCAAGAGCTTGTGAAGTTTTAACCGGGATCTTCGACTAATTCCATCTTTCTCTTGAGTATTTGCACCCTCGGGGTCTGGCCTGACCGAGAACCTCCCGAGCCCTGGGGACGCCGTCGCCCCCGTCCCCTCCCATCCCTGCTCCCGACCTGCACCCTTGACAATCAGTGGCTCCTTCCCAGGGACTGCAGCACGTGGTTGAGACGTCCGTTTCGTTTTTTCAATATTCCTTTTTTTGTGCTGTATGGTGATGCGTTATTGTATATTCCACAATAAGAAAAAAAAAAAAGAGATAAAAAAATGATGATAATAATAATAATAATAATTACCATGAAAAATTCTTATGAGTTTTGTTTGGAAACTCTTTCACTATATTTGTTGTAAAGAGGTTTACTATTAAAAAGAAAAAAAATACACGTTTCTGATAATTTCCTGTGCCTCTGGCTCTTTCTTTCCCGCCCTCCTCAGCCCCCCGCGTTGCAGGGTGCAGCGGGGTGTCGCTCCGGGTCCAGGGTTCGAGGTCCTGCCAGGAGTCCCGGTGAGGTGGGGGTGCTCCCTGTGTCACCTGGTCTCAGTGGCTGGGGGTGAGGCGGCTGTCCCAGCTCCCACTGGGCGCATCGGCACGAGCTCGCCCAGATGCACGACCGTGGCCGGGCAGTGGGACACGTCTGGGGCAGCCACAGGGAGGCTGGAGCAGGGGGTTACCCCGCTTTCCCGCTCAGGTGTCCCCAGTTTCCCGTCCCTGTCCCGTGTCCACGAGGGATCCAACCAGCGAACACCCCTTGCTTGGCGGAGCGCCCCGTCCCCACAGGCAGCCCTGATGCGGGGTGATGGCCGCCCTGGGGTGCTCTTTGGGGAGACGGTGGTTCCCACCACGGGGTTTCTGGTGCCTCCCTGCAGACCTAGGGCTGCTCGCTTGCTTGGCTGGGATGGACACCCCCCAAGACACCCCGCATGCAGAGCGGTCCCCAAAGCAGCCCGTGCTATGGCTCCCACGGATCCTCGCCGCCTCCTTACAGGTCAGGCGCCGCATTTCCTACCCAACCCTTTTCCCGGTGGGTGTCGGACCGTCTCCTGATCCCCTGATGCCTCATGAGATCCACGCGGGCTTGAAAAATCTCCTTCCGCCTGGAGCTGGGATTTCTGTCGGGCTTCCAGCGAGGATGCCAGGTAAGTGTGACCGCCCGAGGGCTGCCTTTGGTTCGGGGTCCCCATCGCACAGCCCGGCTGTCTGCTGGATATCTTTGGGGTCACGATATCCCCGGAGGATGTTGTGAGGCTGTTGCCCGCGGGGAGGGCAGCAGCGCCCGGGCTCCTCGAGGGGAGAACTGGTTGGGAGGTGGTGCAAGCAGCAGCTCGGGGTGCGGGGCAGAGCCCGCACCCCGTTGCATCCCTCCACCCGCTGCAGCAGGGTTCTGGTTTTAGGGCCGGGGCGATTGGACCGGCCCGGGGCAGGATTTGTCCCCTACAGGGCA